AAATATTCATTTTAAGAGCGTTAGTGAATTAAAAAAAAAGCAGTATAAAAACCGGAATGTCCAACTGATAAGGGTGAAAATTTTTTCACTTGTTATTTACAGTAAGATAAATACATTCACCAACTTTTATTAGAATAACACCATTTAAACTGGGTGTTCGGATTTATATGTCACTTAGTATATGTTTTGGAGGTCTTATAAGAAAAGGATATTTCAAAGAAAGCAGTAAGATGAGCTGTATAAATTTAAGGTCACAATCTTATGATAAAAGCATGCGCTTAGCAGTTCTCGTCTATCTTCCATATTTAACTATGTGAAATATTTTTTCTAAGTGAAATTCCATGTCGTAAGCACGAGTTTTAAACTTTTTGTATTCTTTTAACATCATTGATATCTATACATTTGATATAAACAATATCACAAAAAATAAAATATGATAGTACAAGACCATCTGTCAATAAAATTTTGGTACTGATATTTAACATACCTCTGTAGACATATACGTTTTTTAGGTTACTGAAGGAGCTCCTTATACAATTATTTATATGATTATTGAAACTTCAGTCTTTATCAAGTAATCCTCCTAAATTCTTTACTTCGGTTTGCTTATCTATTGCAACACCATTATTATGAATATCTATTTTATCTTTAATGAGAGAACTTTTTTGGCAAAAATAGTAAAATTTGACTTTTCAGTGGTAATAGCTGCGTAGAATCACCGAGGTCGTGAGCGTATAAATATACTAAGATAAAAAAATTCAGACACACCCTCTCATCCCCAACAACTCACTATCCCCTAACAGTTTACCATAATTTTTTTTCAAAAGTGATCTGGATCCTCTGAAACATCAAAAAATTAAGTCTAAGCGGCTTTTATTTGGGAAGTAATAAATCTGTTCTGATAGACATCAATATTCTATCAAGAAGGCAATTAGAAGTAGCTAATATAACAGGTGATTATGAATTATTCAGTAGATATACTCGTATTCCTGAAAGATTTGTGACGGCAAACGTATGTAATTTAATCGGAATTATATGTCAATCATAACGTGTCTTGTCTATGATTATGTCTCTTGGACAATCACATACATACAACAAAATTAATATCAGAGTGCCTTGACGTAAAATAGAGAATAGATGTATACAAGACACCAGAAGCATGGACAAAGGTTTCGGACTTGTTGAGTATTCCATTTTTCATATGACTGCTTTAGGACTGAGTCCGTATAAAACAAAAAGTAAAGTTGACTTTTTGATTTTCATGTTACTCGAAGTATCAGCTCTTTTGTTACTCTACCTTGTGCTGGTACAATTGGTCCAACATAATTCACCAACTCCTGCACAAGTCGTTTCTATATTATGTAACTTTCTTGTAATGCTGCATGTAAGTATCCAACATAAAACCGTATCAATTCAGAATGAAGCAAGATTAGATATTTCAGAAGAACATACAGGGTGGCGCATCGAAAACGAAACAGACGCATTTACGGGCAGCTCAGTATTTTTTGGAAAAACGCTCAGACCCGTCGATTTTGTTTTCGAGGAGGACACAAGCTTGGCAAAAAATCACGTTAACACGTGCAGCCCCCTGGGCGGGGGTGACACCAACCCTAAAATCTTGAATGGATAGAGGGGTCGAGTGATACCTTATTTTAAAGGTCTTCCAATTCCATCTATAATGATGTAAAATACATGAGCTTCAGTTCAGTAGTTTTGAAGATTTATTGATTTAAAGCTTAAAGTAGACTTTAATAGGTACATCAGATTAGTTTGTACTACTTTCAGAAGAAATTTGACTAAAAGAATTTACTTAATAAGTAAATGTTTTTCTTCACTACGCCCATGGTTTGTTTATCATTTTGTTGTTATAATAGCTATTTGAGCGTTTCTTTGTGGCAAAAAAGTTATTTCTTTAAGAAAGATAAGGAAATATCTCGTGCTTATTTTAAATAGGAATTTAGTACATATTTTGCGATTGACTTGACCAAACTTTGTTGCTAAAATAACTTGTAACTCTTTATTACATAAATTAACCATGGTATATTCCACAGCAGAAAGAGTTGAAATTATCATTTTGTTGTTATAATAGCTATTGGAGCGTTTCTTTGTGGCAAAAAAGTTATTTCTTTAAGAAAGATAAGGAAATATCTCGTGCTTATTTTAAACAGGAATTTAGTACATACTTTGCGATTGACTTGACCAAACTTTGTTGCTAAAATAACTTGTAACTCTTTATTACATAAATTAACCATGGTATATTCCACAGCAGAAAGAGTTGAAATTATCGAAATATTTTTCGGAAATAATCAGTGCGCTAATAGAACAGCAGAAATATTTAATAAGCGACAGTAACGTGCATCGAAAATATGTTCTAGGACTAAATTTCTGGAAACTGGGTCAGTCGCCAATAAAAAACGCAACATTGAAAATCCCATAAGGAACGAAGCAATAGAAGTGGGGGTTTTAGGGCAAGTTTATGTAGATCCTAAGTTAAGTACCCGCAAATTGGAGACTGTGTGTGGTGTTAGTAGACGTACTGTCCAACGGATTCTAAAGGCCCATAGTTTTCATCCGTGCAAAATTCACCTGGTACAAGAACTTAATGAAGACGATTTTGATAGGCCATTACAATTTTGTGAAGATATGAGTGAACGAATTATAAACGATGAACATTTTCTATTCAACACTTGCTTTTCCGACGAAAGTTCCTTTTTCTTAAATGGCGTAGTAAATCGTGATAACTGCCGATATTGATGCGATTCTAATCCCAGAATTTATCATGAGGTTCATGCACAGCAGCCACAAAAATTAGATGTTTGGGCTGGTATTTTTCGCGATCATTTAGTTGGTCCTTTTTTCTTACCTGGAGATTTGACCGGTGAAATGTATTTGGAGCTACTGGAAGACGCCATAGATCCTGCATTAACAGCCATAATTGAAAATCAGAATGATTGGCGGTACATTGCGAATAGGTTGATGTTTCAACAGTATGGTGCCCCACCACATTACGCATTACGTGTTCGACAATATTTAGATCAGACGTTTTCAGATCGATGAATTGGTAGAAGAGGTGGCATTGAATGGCCCCCAAGATCGCCAGATTTATCACCTTTGGATTTCTTTATGTGGGGTCATTTAAAAAGCAAAACTTACATTGTGAGCAGTGTTCGAGGATAGGTCCTATCGGGGCCTTCTACAGACTGAGAAAGTCATGCGGAGAAAAGTACTTCTTGACCCCAACTTTTTCCCAGTATGTATAGGAGGGAAAATGATCTCAACAACATTATCTACAACTTTGTGCTAACGGTCTCTAGCGACAAGTTGATTGTTTAGCTGTTTCAAAGGACTCCACCACAGGTAATCGACGTCAGTCGCCATGGAAGGCTGGGCAGTCAAGTCATTTACCTGACTGAGCGTTCGCCAAAGAGATTATTGATGACATTGTTTTGATGGAATATAATCAAAGCATTGTATTATTATTTCTCAAATAAGTTCCACGCAGAGTGGCCGGTGTTTATAGCTCTCAACTGCGGATAAGCTTACCACTGCTGAAATCTATCAGTTTTTCATTGACAAATTAGCTTGACAAGGAGATACAAAACTTTTTGTTAGTTAGCTTCGTAATACACCCTTTCCAAAACCATACTTTGAATTTGATAGCTGATGGCGGAAAATCAGTAGACTCACAATTTCGTTGAAGACACCAATTTCTTTTTTGAAAACCAGATGAAAACTTTGTAAAATAGGTATTTTCAGTGCGGTGCAATTTATAGACATATATTATAGTACATATAGTGAACACATTCTTCTAGAATTAAAGGTCATACAGGCGGTTTATTATTCTTCTCACTATATTTTGTCATACCATCTAACTGATGGCCATTGATTTAAAATGAGGATTATAACTAACCAAAGGGTTTCGACGTCATCCGCAGCCAACATGACGTTTGCTATAGTTCACGAGTAAAGCTATACTTTCTCAACTAAGATATTTGTTTTAAGCTTGACATCATCGGTGGATTTGGGTGCACGTATGTGTATAAGTTTGGTATTGTCTATTTCGCAATCAGGGATGAGGTTTATATCATCATTTATATCAATCGCATTCTGAAAGAAAGATCGATTTTCTGACAGTATCAATTTCTTTACGTCAGTTTTGAATCTATTCATATTATTGTTCTTCTTTATTTCTGGTGGTAGTAACTTATAACATCTTGGAGCTAAGAATGCGTATGATCTTTGTAACACGTTTTTTTCTGGTAATGGTACTCGTAAGTCGTATTTCTTTCTAGTGTCGCAACTATAAGTGGTGTAATATACAGCGACCTTGTTTTTGTGTTGTTCTGTGATGATCTGGAAAAAGCATGCTTGTTGAATGTCAAGTATTTTAGTTTCTAGATAGATCATATCGTTATTGTATTGTGAGGCGATTATCTTCTAAACCATTGACCTGTTGCTAAAGATGATTATACACAAGGTTATAGTTGATTTTGCGGAGACCATTTTCCATCCTGAACATATTCCCAGCGCTTATGGTTCTAAAGTTATTGTAGGAAACTCAGGTAGCTTCCACACTTTCTCCATTTTGTTATTTTTCTTTCAGTAGATCTATTTTGACCCTGCTCAAAATCATTTATTGAGCGAATTATATCACGGCTTGTAACTCCCAAAATTTCTTATATGGGGATACATATCTACTATACCGATTAAATAACAAAGGGAACAAAGGCAATCTAGTTTTTTCACCATGAAACATGAGAAAAAGTCATATAGAAACTGCTAAAGAAATACTCCGAGGAATTACTCCTTGAATTTTTGCCTCATAACTTGGAAATACCCGTATAACGATTTCTCCTTCTAGGCCATGTTTGACCACATCTGCTGGGATTTCCAACTGTCGAATATAAGAACTGTTATTCTTCAAATGAAGCAGAATTTTTGGAAAATCCGAGAGTACGAGGATACCCCGTTAGGGGATGATCTCAGAAGAGGAATAAGACGTTTCAAAATTCGATTCGCATTGTATATGTCGGTATTGACCTTCAGCTTTACATCGTTTTTGTTTGGTCGATTGGTTAGTATCCCAGTCAGTTAGCGCTGTGGCTTTTGTATACCAAAAAGAGCAACTCAGAACTCTATACAGTGAAATCCATATACCACTGACGTCGTAATGTATACGAGAGAGTAACGCGAAGAGCATGCAATACGTGTGTTAGAAAGAGATAGAATCACCTCGTTGCCTAGCAACGCACTCTTATATATACGTATTGCATGCTACTCTCTTGTACTTTGAACCTGATCATTATCTATGAGGATCTAATAACAAAACTCATTCAACATTCTCCACTTTGCATTGAAACAACAAAATTACCATTCAAACATGTGTAGTAACATATTTTGATGACTACGGGTACCACCGTCAAACTTTGGAGATTGCTTAGGAGACGTGTCACATTTCTGGTCTGCCAGAGGGTTGATGGAAAGAATGTAAGTTTTTGGAGTAAACTTATCTTTGCAGTCAGATCCTCTATCTGATTTTTTTTGTTGTACCGAAGCTGGAACCTAAGTACAGGGGCCCTGCTATAAGGAGCCTAAAAATTGATCCGATTTTTGAACTGCTTAAGGGTAGCAGAGCTGGAAGAAGCATCCTCAGGAGGATCGTTCCACAATCTTGATTCCTTAGGGATAAAGGAGTGGTCGAATCGGCCAGTTATGGATGTACGGAGTTCTGTAGGATAGGAAGGCAAAACTAGGTGGGTCTGACTAGTAGGCTTAACGCGCGCGGTAGAAGAGGTCTAGATCAGCAGACGGCTTTTCGGTGCAGAAGGGTCCCGAGACTGTCTGTTAGAGAAGAGTCAGTATTTAACTATAATAACAATTGCTTATTGGTTAACATACAAAGTGTAATATAAATAATAAATTTGAATAAGCTATGAAATACCCAAAGAAGTATGAACGTGTGCTTGCGCTTGAGATATAACAAGTCAAGCTTGATATACTACAGACTACAAAAAAATGTCTCTTTTGGTCAAATGTATAAGTTCACATATTCTTAGTGGTAATAATAATTTAGTCATGGATGTCAATTAGTATAAATAGTTTCGTCTGACTTAGAATCGACGACTTTAATTCAATTACCGTTCGTTTTTTGGACTGTATATGTTTTAGATTTGGTGGAAGAATATTATAAAATTTTGGACCTAGAAAATCAAATTATCGTTGTGTTTTTGAATCGTGTTTAATGATTATGACTTATATACTGTAATACATTTGAATGCTTAGTTAAATATATGATCGTATTGTAGAAATAGTTGCCCGGAACCTAATTTATGCTTCACTATAAAGATTTTCCTTTGGATACAATATATATTTTGTTACATAATCCTTAGTATCCACCTCTTTTTATAATAATTATTCATGAAAAACCTATGCCAAGATTCCATACGCAATCGATGGGCAGATAAGTGCGTGGTAAATCATCTATAGGTATTTTAAAAATAGGAACGTGATGAACTATTCAAATTTTGGTATCTCAATTTTTTGACATGTATTTTAAATGATCTACAATTTGGAATTAATTATGGGATGGACAAGATCTCTTATTGGAAGAAAACGTTGTGAAGCATGTTCTGTTAAAATTCATTCACTTTTGTAAATCCAATTCGATGTTGTTCTTTGAAGAATATCAATCATTATCTGAATACATAATAGCCGTGTCGTCAGCATATCCAATGCTTTTTCCAACAATAATATATGAAACTGGTCCTCCCCCTCCTAGTGAGTTATTGGTATTTAAACATTGTGTTCTATTTCTCAAATGGTGACGATCACTGATATAATCATTCTTCCAACAGATAACCACTCGAGAAATAAGCTACGAAACATTACCCGTCCAGTGTTACATACCCGATGCAGTACCTATTTGGGTCATGTTCCTATGGCAAACGATACATCTGTATTTCTTGTTCTTCAGTAGTGGAACACCGCTGTTTACTATGTGTGCCATGACATATACTAGCCTACAGCTCAAAATATTGGATTATGAGTTACGAGGAATTTTCGAACATGTTGATGTGGACAATGATGATGTTTTCCGGAACGTCCAGAGCAGGATTGCCAAATGCAGCAAGCACCATAGCTTTCTTTTGAGGTAAGAGGGTATAATTTATACTGTCAGTAAATACGTTCTTCACTGTGAAACTGCATGTTCTTTCAGGTAAAATGTATCCGTAATAGTAATTGTATTTGCTCTTACAATTCAGTAAATTTGTTCACGTATCAAGGAAGAATATTGTATTGTATTGTAATTTTGCTAACGTTGTAATTACCTGTTTTTTGCTTTTTTTTGTTTTTTATCTAAACATGCATTCTCTAATGGATGCCATATATATTGCATGTCACAATATTATACTCAATGTCAAAAAAAAGCCTACATTTCTTGGAAACATATCCTGTAAATCTAATGGAAAAATAACAATAGTAAACTCCGGAAAAAGATAGTACAACCTACACTTGCTTGCCGTCTGTGTCCAGAATTGACATTCACAGTGTGTGGACACCCTAAACAGCGTCCTATATAGCACGAACTATGTAATTAGAACTATCAGATTTCGACAACATATTATTTATTGATTTTACTAACATATTATTTAGTTTCAGATCCACATTAAATGAAGCTTTTTCAACAGTCATGATATTGTACTTAGGTCTGATGATTTTAGTTCTATGTATTGGTCTGTACGCATCATTTGCACTGTGAGTATTTGCTTCAGATACAAATAATCTGACAGCTTTTGCAGATCAGTTAAATCATTACTAGATTTGAGTATCTCAACAGAATCTCGGGCTCCCGTTTCGATCTCGCCACCTGAATAGTTCGAAAACTGCGCACCCTAAAACAAGTATCAAATAAAAGTTATAGAGTTTCGAGGCGCAAAATGATGGTGACCTTGGCCGTGATCTTGACCATTGCCTTCAAGGCCATGTCAAGGTCAAACTGAGACATCGAAGACAATATAATCTGGCAACTCACTTACGAGGTTTATAGAGATCACCTGAAGGTGATCTTGAACATGAGCTTCAAGGTCAAATAATTTTTTTTAAGGGAAGTACAAGGTCATTGAATGTTTGAATGTTATTCGAGGACAAGCTCACATTCAGGTGTATTATTTCCTGCTTTTTCCATTTCTAGTATAAACATGAGAAGTTTCCCTCAAACATTCCGATTTTGCCTTAAAGGTCGAAATCATGATCAAGGTCAAGGTCAAGATCATAGTCAAGGTCATGGTGACGGTCACGGTCAAAGTAACGATCAAATCCATGATAAAGGTCACAATCAAGCTTATGTTCAAGGTCGTGCCCAAGGTCTCAGTCAAGGTCATGCTCAAATTTTCAAGGTCATAGCCAAAGTTTGCCAATGGCATGCTAAAGGCCATGAGTGTTGTTGTGTGAATCTTTTGTGTTATCTATTTTTAATTATTGCAATCTAGTTTATCATCCTTGTTTGGATGTTGCAAGTCGTAACATAATATCAGTAGTACAAAATAACTGCGTTCGATTCATATTTAGTTTAAGAAAATTTGATCATGTTTCGGATCGTTATAGTTTAATAGGTTGGTTAAAGATGACAGATTTAGTTAAATACAACTATCTAACCTTTATACATAAGTTACTTGTCTCTGGAACTCCAATTTATTTACGTGAAAAACTAATTTTTAGGTATAATGTTCATGAACGACATATCCGTAACACAATCGCTTTAACAATGCCACTTCATAGTTCATGTGTTTTTAACAGGTCCTTCTCATATAATGAATGAATGTTATATAATAAGCTTAGATTACAGAACAAAAAGCTTGCCGCTGTTTAGTTTTAAAAAACACTTAAAAGCTCTTCTGCTCAATGGTGCTTCTTAAAGGTGTGTTTCTCCAGCATTATATTTTTAAGCTAATTTTTATTTAGGTTGTGATCAGTTACATGGGCATTTTCCTCCTTTTATTTTCTTTACCTCTGTACTTTTTTACCATCTATTATTCTTATGCAGTAAATGGTTATGTGTAAGAATAGCTGCCATAGCTAAACTTCGCCATTAAGCTGCTCAGTAATCTAATTATAGATAATATATGCATTATCTATAATTTGTTTTTTTTCTAATAAAAGACGGTTATTATTATGATCAAGGGCTCGATCAAGGTCACCTTACAGTTATGTTGCCGAACATTTTTGCAAATTGTTTTCGATGTACCGATTTAACCTTGGAATAGCCTTGAAGAACTTATTAAGTTCATGGCCGGGGTGATATTCAAACAAAATATTTGAACCGTTTGAACCTTGAAAGGACTTGGAAGATCTTAGTTAGAGAAGGTCGTTGTCAAGGTCACCATCTTGTTGTCCTTTCTAAGCCCTATAACTTTTATCTATACTATAACTATCTAAAACTGTAATGACTCATCGATGTTCACGTGAACATCACTGAACTACCAGTAGTCGGCTGTTCATAGGCGGGGTATGAATGTTTAACATGGGTGAACTAGATTTGTCACATGCTTAATAAAGAGTGGTTTGAAACATATTGACAAAGTCAAAAATTTGGGAATTACCTTTATTCATCGTCGCTTCCACTTACATCTGACAGTAATAAACTGTCGCTATCGCTTTCCTCGTTGAAATATTGACTATAACTGGCTCTATGATGGTGTCGATGTGGTGGTCAAGCTGCCACATTTTTGTTTCTTCATTCACAACATGACGGATAGCATTCTGCCAAGCTTCGGGCGTTACTAGCTGTATGGAAGTTTCAAGTAAAACCTTAACGTCTGGTAATTTGAAGGTTGTGTTAAGGCGTGCAATATAAACCTTCACTTGAGCCCAGATGAGCTCCATTGGGTTCAGTTCATAGTGGTAGGGCGGTAACCGCAGCACAGTGACACCACATTGACGGGCCATCTCATCAGTCACGTAACTAATGTTCGCAGGTTTGTGCTGTTTAATTTTTTCATACAATTCCGCTTTCACACATGAATCGTCAAACGGGATTCCTTTTTCTCTCAACCATTGCTGCATGTCACTTTTTCGAGATCCCATAGTCGGTACACGTTCGGCTCGACGACTGTGGTAGGAAGCATTATCCATAACGATCACAGAGTTGGGCTCAACTCGCTGAAGCACCCCTTGAAACCAGCTCTCGAAGCAGCTGGCATTCATTTCGTCATGGTAGTCACCTCCTTTCTTAGAGTCACACTCTTCTAAAAAGCCACTATCGCTACCAATATGAGTTACGATCAATCTTTGACCTTTCCCTGACGGTCCACGAAGACCTGTTGACAAACCTTCAATGCTTGCTTGTCGGTTACTCACTACGTTTTTGTCTATCCAGGTTGTTTTAACTGTGTGACCTGCATTTACCCAAATAATAGATTTTTCTGCTTCGTCGCCTATATTCAATCATTTCGCTTAGGTATTTTCGACGCCAGGCGACTATTTCAGGTCTCTCTATCAATACTGACTTCCGATTACGGGTTTCGTAACGAAAATTAATTTCGTGCAGGGATTTCCTCATTACCTCGACGCTCATTTGGGGTATAATTTCATTTTCCTTGATCGCTGCATGTACAGCCTTGAGGGTTGGTATCTCATTCCTAAAGAAGAATCAATGTACGGTACGCCTTAACGCCATTTTGCTATCGTCATCCAAGTTAACGGCCTTTCGTCCCTTCAAATTAAACTTTGGATCAGTAGTAGCTCCAGTTTTCTTCTTTTCATGCACCACCCTGCGAATGGTCCACTCTGGAACGCCTGTCATACTTTCACAACGCGCGAGTGCATCTCCCTGTGACATAGTTCTGTTCAGATAATTGAACACGTTGAGCACGATTTCTTTGGCGTCCCTCTTCAGTGCTTTACGAAGCTGTCTACTTGTTCCCTGGCTTTCAGTACTTCCACTCGTGCCATTTGTACTCTCCATGGTTAAGTATAACCAAAACAGTAACCACAGAAACCACAACAATAACAATCACACAACAATTCTTATAAAAACACACAATATGCGATCGCTCAACGAAACACGTTCCAATGCGTTGCCGACGCCTATGAGTCTGCCGGTCGAGGCGCGTCTTTGATTTCATTGGTTCTACCGGCGGAGAACAATCAGCCATTATTTCCATCTCTGTCTGTGCTGTTGACCACTGCAAAGCCACAAAAACGACATGTCGTACGCTATACGGCTGTACTGGAAGGAAGCCGGGATCCAGCTCTGATCACGTGTTGATTACGCGTATGAGTCATTACAGTTTTAAATAGTTGTACGCGCAGTATAGCAATCACATTCAAATACAAAATGTATCTGACAAGTTCATAGATTTAATTATTGTCCTATTTTAGCAAAAGCAGGGAAGATATTCTGAGAACCCTGGCATACGTAGCTATCTACAATGTTGAGTTTTTTGTGTGCTACTGCTTTCCCTCTCAAATACTCATGGACTATGTAAGTATTCACTTGCAACACCGTACAACATTTAGCTCATTATCTTTTCTTACAGTCGGAGGGCTTATCAGATACTCTGTATTTCACTAAATGGTACCAGTACCCAAAATTCAACAAAATGGTATTGCTGTTGCTTTGCCAGCTCCAAGTAACTGTAGCATTCAACGTTCGAGGAATTGCGAGCTTTGGCTACGATATTGGTTTAAGGGTAAGACTTACTTACTTTTTGGGAGATTCAGACACGGCATTCCCTGCCCGCTATGGCTCAATAAATGGTGCTGCGTGAAACGTTTTCATTCTGGAGTATTCGACAGACTTCAGCTTTGGGTACCCCCCCAACCAACTTGTAGATACTTTTTTTTTCTAATTAATACGTTATCTTAAAGCAAAAACTTCAATATAAATAAATGTCAACCGACAGTAAAGTAAGTAAGCAAACTTTTGCTTCCTATTGTTTTGTGTTTGTTAAGATTAAAGCCAATGGATTTTGTGCCCAAACTTTAAGGACATACGTTATTGGCGGTGTTTAGCTAAGCTATTCTTACACTCAATTGTACCTGGTAAAACTTCATATTAATTTAACGTACCAATATGACATTTTTACGTGTACAAATACGATTGCATGTCAATGAACCTTCAAACTTAAAAAAAAGTGGTAATGGATCACGTGGTTCAGAACCGCATGATGTATTGCGCGCTTCTCTCTCGCACACATGACCGCGTCGGTGACTTGGATTTCTCTGTATATGTTCTTTGTATTTTTTTCTGAAACGAGCTTGCTTACGCACAACACATTTTAAGATGAATGCAACCAGTGACATTTTTATCTGTTTTCAGGCTATTAAAACTGTTGTGTCGTACTGCATGTTTTTAAGAGCAATTATACTATAAATATGATGATCAAGCTACTTCAAGTATTCTCTGTTGGATTACGCTGGCAACCAAACAATTATCGCTAGCCCAATTCTGTGTTTTGTAAGTAATAGCTTATTTTTCAACCGCAATACATAAACTACTACCATTTTTTCGTTACGTCATATTTTCACTATTCACTAACCTGAAAATGAAAGCTCTTTTATGAACACTTTGAGTATACAGCTCGTAGTTAAAATATGTATGCAATTTTGTTGTGAATTTGCTGGCTTTGTATTATTGAAAGCTTGACAGGTAGTTTTGAACTTTAACGAGACCAAACAACGAAAAGCTAATTAAAGCGAGATCGTTGTATTACAAAGCCTCGCTTGCGTACTTACTCTTTGTAAAGTTATTTTGAGAATGTACGCTATTAATATTTGTTTTCAAGTGTAGGCGTTCAGGAAGGTTACAAACTAAAAATCACCGGATTTGATGATACGGTAAAGCTTCTTTGTACACCCTTGAAGATAAAATTTGGATAAAATTTCTTCAACTCCAGTGGTGGCGTAACATGAGGTAAAGATTCCAATCTAAGACACCATAACCATGGAACGATAAAAATTGAGGTAGTTCAGAAGCTCGCGATTTATGCAGCTCTGCATCACCTTATAACAGAAAGCAGAGCTATAGGCGTGTAGTTGTAGTTAGGTCCATTTTTTGGGATGAGTTAGACAAATTTCCTCATTACTGAAAAAGGGTAGTGCGACCGATTGTAATAAATACAGAGGAATCTCGCTATCGGATGTAGTATATAAAATTTTATGAACATTGCTTAAAACGAGACTAGTGAAAATTATAGATCCACATTTGGAAGATTATCAAGCTGGTTTTCGGAAGGGAAGATCGACAATTGATCAAATTTTTTTCATGAAAGAAGCTTTTGCCACCTGATACGAATATAAAATACCAGCAATCATACTATTTATTGACTTCCAAAAAGCGTACGACACGATCAGATGGAGTGCAGTACTTCATAGAATAATTATTTTGGTATACCTGAAAAACTCATAAGCCATACAAGAATGACGATGAGACAAACAAGAAGTATGGTCAAAATAAGGGGAGAATTGACAGAAGAGTTTGAGCTTAATACAGGACTCAGACAGGGGGATCCGTTATGTACACTTTTATTTAATGCGATCCTAGAAAGAATCGTTATTGAAAGTCAGCTGAATAGATCAGGGAGTATATTATTTAAAAGTCACCAACTAACTGACTATGCTGATGATGTCGCCATAATAGCTGGGGATGAAAGGAGAATGATAAAAGTGGTAGAGCAGTTTATAGTTAAGTTGCAGCAGAAATGGGATTGAATGTAAACGAGGAAAAAAGTAAATTTATGAGAATAGGGACCTGTCAATCGGAAACGAGGCTAGAAATAACGGTAGAAAAGAATATTTTTGAGGAGGTGGATGGGTTTGTGTACTTACGATCGCTGATTAGTGATAAAATAAATGAGGAAACAGAAATAAACTACAGAATCGGTAAGGCCAATAAATGTGCGAGAATGCTCAACAGAAACATTAAGTCAAGAAATGTATCTAGAGTATCCAAAATAAGGCTATACAATACGATCATCAAGCCAACTCTTTTGTATGGAGTAGAAACCTGTGTAATTAGTAAAAAATGAACAAACATTACTTAGGTGGGAGAGGAGAATTTTAAGGAAAATATATGGAGAGATCAAGGTGGAGGGAGGGTATGTAAGGAGGTCTAATGCCGAAATCAATCATCCATATAATGAACCGAACATAATAGGGGTAGCTAGGACCAGAATATTGCAGTGACTGGGACACCTGGAAAAGTTGCCGCAAGAAAGAACAGTGAAGCATATAGCATGGAGAGTTCCCGATACTAAGAAGAAAACAGGCAGACCAAGAGGAAGATAGAAGGATGCGGTTATGGAAGATTTGAGGAGCAGGAATATCAGAGACTGGAAGAAACGAGCATTAGACAAGAAGTGGTGAAATAAACTTGTTAAGCTTAGGACTGTATTATAGCTGTAGGTATATATACAGGGTGACTTCGAAGTGGAGTCATTTATTTTAACAGTGAGTAGATCTGATCAAAAGAAATGTTTTTTCCTTTACCATTTTTCTGGTAAAATTAAAGCAACAAAGTTATAGCCCTTTGGAAGTTTGAGTACCGCCCTGTCTCAATAATAATATTATGTGCTCGTGTTTGGCAACAACGGATATAATCCGCCTTATCGGTTCATCGCATCGGAAACAAAAAAGCGACAGAATTTGGAACGATGTTTTTACAATTATTTTATTCAGTTGTATACAGTCAGTGTCAGTCGGTAACGCGTGAGTGAATAGTGGTGTCTGTTGCGTGGCTCAAACGAAATAAAAAATGGCACATGTTTATGCGGATCGGTTTCCCAATCGAGTGCAACCAACCCCTCGTGCATTTGTTAATGTAGTACAACGGGCTCGTGAATCAGGTGACTTAAGACCTCACAGGGGACGGCATGCCGGTGCTCCAAGACCTCACGATCAAATACAGGTCCGCACTGAAATACTTGTCGGGAGGATACTTTATAAAACAAGGTAAATTTTTTTTAATTTTTTTTTTATTTTTACACACATATTTTGGTTTATCTTCCTTCTACAATCATTATCTGAAAATTAATGACTCAACTTCAACATCAACCCTGTATATATATATATATATGGACAAATTTTCATTTTTTCTGGAAACGTGGCGGATTCGTCAGATATCTGGGACAGACGCGGAAGAACTGGAACAATCTCCATAACATCGTAGTCTGACTTACCCATGGGAGACAGGACATCACGTCTATAGGACAGGATGCATGGACAGACAGAGATTCAGCAGGGAACGAAACGCGGGGGAAAAATTAGGGCTTTCATTTAGTCATAAATCAAACTCATATGTTTCACTGAATATCTCTATGACAGATTATAATAAAGCTGTAGTTACAAAGTTCACATTTCGCACAATGAGGTGCAAGCTCATAAGTAGGGTGGAGTCCTTACATGTGCACGTTCTTCGGATACATCGAGATTCACCAGATTTTCAGTGAACAAAATCATAGTCATCGTTAAAACAACTAACACAACAGTAAACCGACTACGGAGAACTGCAGCTCCGTCCATTGGAGTTTGGAATGAACGGAGTTATAGATTTAATGAACGATCCAACAGGTATCCTGTACGGTATCGAATATGTGGTTTCAGATAATTTCCAAGAGTAATACACGCACACACCGGCATTCTGATTATAATTGGAGAACGTCTAGTTTGTTCAGCAATTATTCTGTTCGGATAGACGACGGTAAGAACAGGGTAAACAGGAAGGTTTGCAGTGAGGGAGACAAATAAAGTGCAGGATGAAGTGCTAGTCGTCACTTATAGAGCGTTCCATGGCTAGATATATATCGGACACAACAAAGGTAACCGGAAGGATGGAACAAGTAGTTCAACGGTGACCTTGGATTTGACCTTAATCCCCACTTTCAATGTCGGTCAGCTTTAGTCTTCAAATAAAAAGCTCTATACTTGGCACCGACAATCAGGTGAACGGATACTTCAACGTTCAAATATACACGGTGTCCCATCTTAACACCCCAGCTAAATGTTGAAAAATTCAAGCAGGGCTTCGAGGACGGAAAATGATGGTGTACTTCCTTTCTTTTCATCGGAATTTTAAAGATAAGCATATTTTACTTCTGAGCATCACCTTGGCCATGACTTTGATTATTGTCTTATTTGCCACTTCCGGGTCAAATCAAGACAAGTAAAACAATTTGCTCCAACATAAATGCTCAGCAGCATAGCGTTGGGGTTTGAGGAGATCACTCAAAGGCGACTTTAATCATGACCTTGATAATGACTGACAACGAACTTGACCTCACCATAACCTTGACATTGACATTGACCATGACAAAGTTCTTGACAATGAAAATGATCTAGATCTTGAGCATGACCTTGGCCATGACATTCAAGGTCAAGTCAAACTTTTCTAAATAAACCTCTCATTTTTGTACTGGAAATTGAAAAAGCGACGACCAAATGTGACGACCTCAAAGGCAAGGTCATGTTATTTGCGGTCAAGGTCACAATCCAAAGTATAATAGTTTTGCTTTTCCCAGTTCCAATATAAAAGTGATGCTTTGGGAATTTCAGCTTGACCTTGAAGGTCATAACAAGGTCATGGTTAAAATCGCATTTGGTTGATCCCCAAAAATCCCACAACTGTGCGGTCTTGTATTCCTGCTATGATAAATTGTTTTCGATGTTTTGATTTGAACTTGAAGGTCAAGGTCATACCAAAGATGATGTTAGGACGTAGAATTTGCTCCACTTTCCGATTCCAATGTTTGGGGGTTCCATACCCACTCGATATTGAAATGACCTTGATAGTCGTAGTCAAGGTCATCAACATTTTGACCCCTCACCACTTACTTCCTATAATTCACAGTTTTCGGAGTAACATGGAAGATGAAGCTCAAGGTGAAATTGAAGATCACAATTGAGTCCTTAGTTTACGTTCAGGAAAGACTCGACCTTGAATCTGTTTCGAAAATAATTTGGAAAAATACAACGACTACGTTCCTTTTGTTACACCCTATATGTAATGTAAAAAGTTGTGAAGTTTTGAAGCTGGTCGTTCTTGCAATGATAAGCAAAACAAAAAAGTATGAGCATATAGGATAGCTTTTTCAGTAGATGATAATGTTTCAAAAAAAAACTAAATGGTGTTCAGGAATTCGCAGCGAGCTTCACCATCTCAAAATGCTTCTGCTTAAATTGACCAAACGATAACTTCCACCTTTCTCTACATCACTGCATTTTATACTAAAAAGTATGGGACATTAGCATGAATTTCTAGAAACAAACAGTTTTTTAAGCAAAAAGTTGGGCGAGTATATTCAACAGTTTGGGGCCAAAACCGGCTTAGCTTATCTACTGTGGTTCTAGGTGCTCCATTAAGACATTGTAGAAGATTTTGCTCAGAGTCAGGCATCCATTGGATCATCCTGTACAGTGCTTCTGGAA